CCCCCCCCCCCCCCCCCCCTCTCCCTCTGGCCCTCTGTGTGTTCAGCACCAACTACGTGACGTATGCGCTCAAGTTGCTGCAGGACCAGGGCAAGAAGTCCGTGACCATCAAGGCCACCGGCACCGCCATCGACCGCGCCGTTCACGTGGCAGAGCTGCTCAAACGAAGATACGCAGGACTGCACCAAGGTGGGTCCAGTAGTGTGAGCCGTGCGAACCAACCATGGCCTTTCTTTCTGTGTCAATGTCGGTCTACTCGTGTGTGTGTGTTTGTGTGTGCTGTAGTGACCCGTTGTGGCAGCAAGGAGGTGACGGATGAGTTCGAGCCCGTCGAAGAGGGGCTGGAGCGCGTAAGCCGCATCGCATCACACACAAGAAAGGGGGTTTGGGTGAGGTGACATCATTGCACTGCGTGGTCTGTCATGTCATCGAGCAGGTGACCAACACCCGGATCGTGTCGTCGATTGAGATCACCCTCACACAGGACATCACAATCATCGACGCAAAGGTAGGTAGCTAGACACGCACACAAGCACCACAAACGTCACCATATGTGTGTGTGTGTGTGTGTGTATGTGTGTGTGCCAGGACCCCGGCTACCAGGCGCCCCTGCCCGACGACATGGTCAAGCCCATGGACACCTTCAACGGCTACCGAGGTGCGTACGCTCCAAGTCCCCTTCACACAGACAGACAGACACACCGACACACAGAGTCGCTTCAACTCTGTGTGTGTGGTCTCTGGTCTCTGTCTGTGTGTCAGGTGGTGGTTACCGTGGCCGCGGTGGCTTCGGCTACCGCGGTGGGTACCGTGGACGGGGCGGATACGACGACGGCTACGGCCGCGGAGGCGGATACCGGGTAAGGCGACAAACCAACACAACAAACACACGCAACAGACAGACAGACAGACAGGGACAGGCAGTCACTTCAGTCCGATCGTGTGGTCCATCCGTCCTCCATCTGTGTAGGGTCGCGGTCGCGGTTTCTACCGCGGCGGCTTCTACGACAACTACGGCGGGGGCTATGCCAACGGCTATGGGGGCTACGGAGGATACGACGAGGGATACAACTACTACCGGTACGTAATGCAGTGAGGGTGAGAGTGACCGCACTCCTTTGTGTCACACATGGATGAACCGATTTCGGTGTGTCTTGGGGTGTGTGTGTTTGCAGTGGTCGCGGCGGCTACCGCGGCCGCGGTGGGGGGTATGCCAACGGGTACGGTGGGGGCTACGGCGGGGGAGGCGGGGGCTACGACGACGGGGGATACAACTACTACCGGTGAGTATGCCCACTCCGTGGACACAGCAACACACACACATATCATTGTGTGTGTGTGTGTGTGTGTGTTTGTCTGTGCGTGTTCCTTCAGGGGCCGCGGTCGCGGCGGCTACCGCGGCCGAGGGCGAGGCACCTACCAACAAGTGCAGGAGTAGATCCGATCATCCCATCCGTCAGGGGGCGGGCATCCCACACACCACACCAACGGGCGGCAAGGGCAAGGGGGGAGGGGGAGGGAGGGTGCATGGTACATGGGGGACGCTTGCATGCCTCTGTGTTGATTAGGTAGCTCATGTGGGGCGGCGGGGGGTCGTGTGGTGTGGGGGACAATTGATGGGTTGACCGAATGAATGGATCAGTGAATGAGTGAATGAGTCAGTCAGTCATTTATATGTTCATGCAGTGCGTGTGCGTGCGCGTGCGTCCGAACGACGATTTGCTTTGCCTGAATGCGTCGAAGCCTGCCTACCTGCCTGCCTGGCTGCATGTGTTAGTCTTTGATTGGCCGCTGGCATTTTCTTTTTTTGCTGCGATTGCGCAGCCGGTCCCCCGCCCTGTCTGTCTAAAATGACGCGATGCGTCCTGCCTAGACGTGTGGGTCCTGCATACTGCCATAGCCACCCACATGAGGGTTCTCTTGGGTCATCGGCGGTGTCGGTGATGGCCTTTGTTCCGGCCTTTGCCGTGGCAGCCGACGACCAGGGGACGTGTTTCATCATGACACACACACCTACCTCTGCCTGCCATATCACATTACTTGGCGGTTTGTTTTGGCCTCACCCACCCCACCCATCCACACACCCAGACACACACTCAATCCCAGACCCACACTCAATCGTCTCCTTCTCTGAATGAATGCTGTTTCATCCCAGCGTATCTCTACGTCTGTCTTGCTGCCTGTCTGTCTGGTTGTTTGTGCAACCACGACAGAGAAAGAGACCGGAATACACACAAACACACACAGCAACTGGACCAAGCACACACAACACAGCTCGCTTACCAGCACGCGTAGGCACACCAAGGAAGGAAAAAAAAGACAGACACAGACAGACCGACCGATCCCGGCCATTCATACCTTACCTGTATACTTCTGTGTGCGTGTTGTGCCGTGTCGTGTGGTGGGTGATGTTTTCGTGGTTTTAAGCCTGCCTGCCTGCCTGATCCATGCCTCTGTGCTGATGGAATGAATGGTGGACGCCGAAGGGGCGGGTGTGGGGGATGGGGGGGGTGGGGTGTGTACAGCCAGAGGTGGTCGTGTCACTGTGTCTGTCTGTGGACTTTCTCTGGGCTATATAGCTGGATGGATGGATGGCCACACGAGGGAGGTGTGGAGGGGAGAGGGGGGGGAGAGGGGGAGGGTCAATTGTATGTATCTATGTGTAGTTGTATACCTACTTCTTGTGTACTTGTAAGGAAGCTGCTCAAGCAAACACGCGGACCGACAGGCGGACGGACCTCTGCTGCCGCCGTCCCTCCCTCCCTCCCTCCCTCCCTCTCTCCCTCTCTCTGCTTGCCTGCCTGCCTGTCTGTCTGACTTAAGATACGGCTACACTCCCTCCACACACTGCGTGCAGCACATACTTACATGTCGTCCGTCGGTTTTACGTGTGTGTCGCTCTCTCCCCGCCTGTCTGTCTGCCTGTCTGTCTGTCTGCCTGTCTGCTGGCGAACGAATCAAGGATAATGAAGAATGCACATACCTACCTACCTGCATGGCTGCACGCATACGCACACACACGCGGACTCCCGTCTCTGTCGTCAGTGGGTAAACCAGTGATCGATTCACTCGCTAGTTCGTTTGTCGTTTCGTCAATCAACTTCACATGGAGGCGAACGACAAAATCTCTGTCCCATGCGGCAAGGCAAGGCAAGTTCTTAGATCAGAGCTGTGTCTGGCTGTGTGTGAGTGAATTCAATCAAGGGGGACGCGACGCACGAACTGATCAAATGAGGTGAAGCGAAGCCCTGGGGCTGAGCGAGTCCAACACACACACACACATCATGATCCGTCCGTCCGTCCATCAACCATCACTTGACAGATAAATGGCTCTGCACAGGTGGCCGGCCGGCGCGTCACTAACATGACCACAGCCATTCATTCAGCGCACACCAACACGCGACACACAGCGGGGACACAGACCTCTCGCCAGTCAGTGAATGAGTGTGCCGATGCCCGACTTGGTGCAGAGCTCCATCAGCACGGCGTGCGGCACCCGGCCGTCCAGAATGGCCACCCCACCCACACCCTTCTCAACGGCATCCTGCGCCGTCCTGACCTTGGGGATCATCCCGCCGGATATCGTCCCGCCACCTATCAGCCCGTCCAGCTCGCTCACGTGGATGTCATCAATAAGACATCTCTCGCCGTCGAGCACCCCAGGGACGTCCGTCAGCAGGAGGAAGCGCGCCGCCTTGAGCTCGGCCGCAATGGCCCCCGCAGCCGTGTCGGCGTTGATGTTGAAGGTCTCGCTCTTCTCGCCCACACCGATTGGCGCCACCACAGGCACGTAATGGCTCTTGCAGAGGCTGCGCAGGAGTGAGCTGTCGACGCGCTTGGGGGTGCCGACGAAGCCGAGATCGATCTCCTGCTGGTTGCCGTCGTCGCCCACAACGGTCTTGGTGAGCTGTTCGGCGATGAGAAAATGGTCGTCGCGCCCCGAGAGCCCCACCGAGCGGGCCCCTGCTGCCTTGATGTCACTTACAAGGCCCTTGTTGACCGCTCCACACAGGACCTGCACACACACACGTGACGCGAGAGCTGTTTGTGGTCGGTATGGGTATCTGTGTTGTAGGCAATCGATTGGTATCGGTTTGGCTGGCTGGCTGACCATTTCGGTGACCCTCAGTGTGTCGGCGTCGGTGATGCGCAGCCCCTCGACTCTCTTGGACTCGATGCCCAGCTTCGTGAGAGTCTCGCTGATCTGTGGTCCGCCCCCATGCACCACCACCACGTTGACACCCGCCTGACGAAGGGCAGCCACATCTCGGCAGAAACCCCGCTTGAGCGCATCGTCCGTCATGGCGTGGCCGCCGTATTTGACCACCACAAACTGATCTGGACGACGGCAGGGCGACACACGCTGATGAGTTGAATGAACGAATCACCTACCCACCTCGGTACTTTGACGAGAACTCGAGAAACTGGCACATGACCTCTGCTCGGATCTCGGGCGTCAGCCGCTTGGCCTCTGCTTCCAAATCAGACAGCGACGGCGCGTCAACGGCAACACTCGCCGCAACCACAGCCTGAGCCTGGGGCGATGAATCAACTCGCGCCCGGACAAACGCACCGCGACCTGATGAATGCACGCCTCTCAAGGCAGCCGAAGATGGCGACGGCCTGACGATGAAGGCATTGCAAAGCCCCGTCCTCAACGCAGAGGAGCAGAGCAAGATGCCCAGCCGGAGGCATCGATCAAACAGGGATGCACCCCGGGCATTCGGCCGCCTTGCCGCCCGTGCGGCACCCACTGAGGACACCTCCATATTGAGCACCTCTTTCGCCAGAGAGCTCGCAGATCCCCGAGCTCGCGCCTCAAAAAGTTTTCCTTGAACAGGTGGACGCAGTGAAGCAGTGGACCAGCAGCTGCTGCCAAGCGAAGATCTGCTCTTCTCTTCTATCTCATCTGGCCGCCCGTGACTGACAGGCCATCTGGAGAAGGAGGGAGGGGCTAGCGATGGGCCGGCGTGGCATCTCTCGGTCTGCGGATGTGAAGAAGCAGGTGCACGCGGGGTGGCGGCAGGGCAGGAGCCAGAAGCAGCTGGCCATCGACTTCGACCTCAGCGAGAGCAGCGTCGCGAGGTACATCAACCAGGTGGAGTCCATGCTCTACCACCGCAAAGACGAAAGTCAGTGAGCTACACACACACACACACACACACACACAAGGCCAGCGCACAGACGGAGGCAGGGGAGAGGAGAAAGCCCCAAGCTCACTTGTCGGTCTGTCGGTCGGTCTGTCTGTCTGTCTGTCTGCTGTGGTTGCTGTGGTTGGTTGGCATCGCCCGCCGCTTAGGCTGCCTGGAGCCCCGTAAGCGGAGCAAGACCTACTGGCCGGGCCGCGGCAAGAGTCTGGACGAGAACGCCCTCGACATCGTCAAGTCGTTGTTCGAGTCGAACCCTCGGCTGACGATCGAGTCGGTGGTGGACCTCCTGCACAACGAGTACGGCTACGCATGCAGCAACGAGTCGTCCATCAGCAGGTTCTGCTCCAAGAGAGGCTTCTCCATCAAGAAGTATAAGGTGGCCAGGGAGAGGGAGAGCAAAGTGGGGAGCAACGACGACCACAGACACGAGTCAGCGGCGGTTGAGGTGGGGGTGGG